TGTTCTACATATTTGAGGTCGTAAGCTTTCTGCTTGCTTCAGTAAAGTAATTCAATGTATAGATACAGTGTGTGTGTGTGTGTGTGTGTGTGTGTGTGTGTGTGTGTGTGTGTGTGTGTGTGTGTGTGTGTGTGTGTGTGTGTGTGTGTGTGTGTGTGTGTGTTTGTGCGTGTGTGTGTGTTGTCGTCGGTCGGGCAGTAGCATTCAATGCTGTAGCACACAGATTTATATGTTTAGGGTCCCTTGTTATACTGAGTGATGTTCTTTTTGCCTTTTTTCAAAGGAGACTAAGTTCAGATTGTAATTTAGTCTTTGATATAACTCTATTTCGATTGCCAAGTCATATGTTTAGGATTTGTATTTAGTACTTAACAAAGGCCTGGCTATTATAGGCTTACACTGACTCATGTTGTTAGAATAAGGCCCTTTTTGAAACATTTATGGTAAGAATAAACTGAACCCCTTCTAAATTTATACATAGATGATATGCAGGTGGATACTGATGTCCAAGATCGACTTTGTTCTAATTGAACATGAGGTACATTAGGTAAAATCACTGAATGATCCATGCATTGTACTTTACAGATTTTTCTGACTAAAGTTGGGGCCCCTTTGTGCGTGCGATTTCGTTTGGTTGGGAGACTGTAAAGCCACTAGATTCAGGTTCTAATTTGTGCTATTGGTAATATAACCAGCTGATTAAGTCAGCTCATACATTATCATACTTGCATGTATTCTATTTTACAGATTTCTCTTGTGAGACTTGAGTTTGGAGTTGAATACTCTAGTATAATCTTGAGTTGGTGCAAGAGAGATAAACTGTGAAGGTAACTGACATGAATTGCTTTAGGCATTGGTATCAGACATTGTCCCTCTCACAACTTCACACATGTATACAATTACATTCATTTCAAGAAACAGTGAAATAAAATGTATTATGATTTAATAAATGTCTCTTTTCTAATAATTTGTACTTAGAATTACATCCAACTGCACTTTAGAACCACAAGATGTTGTGTCCCAACGAGAGTTGGGTGAGCCTGGATGACTTTCAGCCTCACTGTACCTGTCTCTACCCTCACACAACTTGGACCGATGCAGCTATCCCCCCCAACACCACTAGGTCCATCAGCCCCACTAGCCCTACCCCTAGATCACCCATGTTTGGTAGTAACAGACCAGACAGCCCCATCAGCAAGTATCTAGAAAACCAGGACTCATTCTTTTATCCAGAATGTCCCAGATTTAATTCATTCTTTGACACCAGTGATCTAACACCAACATTTCTATCAGTCAATCCAGATATCTGGTCTGTCAGCCCAAGTGATGAGTCTCTCCCAGCCAGCACCAGCTCCAGCCTGACCAGCCTGAGCTCCACCAGTCTTACTGACCCCTTCCCCAGCTCTTCTACCCTTTTCCAGAATTCTGAGGAATTTTTCGATGATCTTCTTCCCTCGCCATCTTCCAACACAACCTGCTTCAACTATGGCCTCACACCTAGCAGATCTCTGGAATCAGACATGTCAGGTTTGCCAGATGACATGAACCTCTCAGATACATTTTACAAAGAAATCTGGTTATATAACACCTATGACCTTTTTCAGGATGGACCACTACTGTCCGCACGCTGCATGTCTCTTCCTGTCAGCCCAGTGAGCAGCTTCACCAACCTGAGTGAGTGCAATGTGTCCTGCAGTCTGACCAGCCTGTGCCACCAAGGAGTGTCACTTCCAGTCCCCAGCAGGAGACCTGGACCCCTGAACAAGGTGGTGGATAGGAAGAGAAAGAGAGATGAGGTGGAGGTGAAGGTTTGTAAGAGGGCCAGGCTATAAGTATGGTAGTCAGATTTACAATGTTTGTCTGAATGTATGTCTTAGACACTATTTTAGTACAATTAATTAACTTTTCAGGGTTTTATATTTTACTGACTAGTTCTAAGTGTCTTGCTGTTGTTCTAGTCACAACACTCTACTCCAGTTAGTAATACCTTACAGCCCAGTTCTTACTTACAGTCGCTACATATGTACTTTAATTCCTTTACTGATGGTCCTAGCTCATGTCCCTATCTCTTGATCTCACAACCATTACATTCCTTGTTCCTGGTGCTACTTGCTAATCATGTTCTTGTGGTCTTTTCCGATATTTGTGGCCCTGCCATTGGTTCCAGGTCCTGTTCCTTACTGTACTTATTCGGCGGTGGGGTAGTCTAGTGCTTAAAGCGTTGGCTCGTCACGCCAAAGACCCGGGTTCGATTCCCCAAATGGGCACAATGTGTTAAGCCCATTTCTGGTGTCCCCCGCCGTGATATTGCTGGAATATTGCTGAAAGTGGCGTAAAACTAAACTCAGTCAGTCAGTCAGTACTGTACTTATAGCACCATTTCCTGCTCCTATAAGCAGGTGTACTTCTAGTTCCTTTCCCTGTCAATAGTTACAGCTCCTCATTCCTGTCCCTGCCAGTAGTCGTACTTCCTATGTAACATACAAGTAAATTAATGTAACAACTCAGTGTTGTAATGTTAAACTGGGCTCGATTTCATAGACCAGTTTCTGTTGATATCAGAGGATAAAATATAAGATTATGTTATAGCTGGTAAACATGCTGAAGCTGTGGCTATGGGGAGGTGGTGGTGGTTGGAGGAAGGGGGGGGGGCTGTTTGTGTAGACTTGTATTATACAGTGTATAAGATGTAACTTTGAAGTCGTGGTTAGTACAGGTGGTGTAGGTGTGGCTAGATGGGGAGGTGGAGGTCACTGTTTGATTGGTATACTTGGTATGAACTGAAACTGTGTCAAAGTCTCTTTTTAAACCGAAAGCACGTTTATGTATTGTCATTTTAACAATTTAAGAAAAAATTCTGAACAACTACTTGGATCAGGTTTGTACATGACGTATTTCACCTTGCTTTTGTCAATGAGAATATATTGACCACTTACAGTTTTAGCTGAGGGTGGCATGTTCATTCAGGACTCAATATTGACATGTTCCAAGTTCAAGGTATATAATGTACTAGTTTCATGAAGCACAATTGTCAAAGGCCAAAAAATAGCTATAACATAATAGCTGTTTTTCAAAGTACAGTAACAAGAACTATGTTGATTTTTTTAATACTTAATAGTCCAAATATATTGCACATGATACAAGAATGAACGAAAATCTGAATATGAAAAGCAGTCACAGACAACATGGACATTTCTAAGACAACACTGGTCTGACACATGATCACAACAGAAAACTTTTCACTTTCATGTCAAAGCCTCATATTGATGACATAACTTAGCGAATGAAACAGTTTTTCAGATACCTAAAAACTCTTTTTTGGATACTGATGTACCGTATATTACCGTCTATAAGCCGACCCCATAGATAAGCCGACCCGATAGATAAGCCGCCCCCAAACTTGACCCTTAAAATCAGTGTCAAAATGGTATGTTTCGTGCATAAGGTATGTTTTCCAAAGCTATCTAAGCGAACCTTTGTGTAAAAATAGTGAAGGAAACTAAGGAACCATGGGATGTGGCCTTGCCAGAATGTGGAAGCCATTATGATCTATCTTACAAAAGCAAGGGAGATAACCGACAATAAAGTTTCCATTGTTGCCGATCTAAGCTGCACCTTTACAGTCAGTTAGTAGGGGTAATGGACCAGTTTTACACATACTGGTACCAAACCATGGGAGCAAGGCAGTGTTTCAATAATCGGGGATCCTTTGGTCACAGAGTTTTGCAGAAGTAAAATCTGAGTTTTCAGGAACAAATTATAACTTTGTCATCTAAAACTAGAATATATAAAATATGTTTTGAGATTTGAGGATGTCAATGCGTATCAAATGCATGGGAATTACATTTAAAACCATCACAAACCTAAAAACACATAAATGTATTGACACTGAAAAATGACCCACACGCATTATCTGTCATTTGTTATAACGTCCACTCTACATTAAGTCTCATGCATCACTCCGGAATACTGGGACATCGTGTTTATTGTGTAACCCCACCCTCAGGATTATTCCACATATATAATAGACGACAGATTAGATTCAAATCTGGTCCAGACAATCCAGTGACTGCCATCAGGAGCATCGATCTGGGATAAGATGATATGCATCAGCTGTCAGTGAGCCTGACCACCCGATCCTGTTAGTCATCGTATGACAGAAGTGAAGACCAATCTTCACGCCATTTTTCATGTGTCCAATAACATCAAGATACAATGGATACATGATCCTGGCTTAGTGACTTGGTTGTTGGCACACCAAGGTTCACAGATGACATGAATCATTGGCCATAATATCAATGATGGTATTGTCTAGTCCAGGCTTGCTTTACAGTCTTCAGATATGCAGATGGAATCCTGCTGAGTGTGACGTTAAACAACAAACACAGAGTTATTAGTTTACCTGACGAAAACTCGGGTACAGGTGTCTGTAGATATTGAGAGAAGTATTGTATCAGACAATAGATTTTAATTACATTTTGGAATGATCTGTCGCTAAGAAAAAGCAATGTTGTGCGTCACTCAAGATGGTTATAATATAGTCTTTAATGCATATCACAGATAAAAACCGAGGAGATCTGGGCAATTGTTACTGGCTCATAATAAATATACAAACATATGACTCATGCTCCAGACTGTAGAAAACTGAAGAAAGAAGCCATTTTGGTTACATCTATTCAATATTCATATTGTTCTCAGTGGAACATCAATATAGGCTCTGTACAACTCGTAACGTACTTCGTGCAGTCAATCAAACATATACATACTAGTGTTTTAGTAATGAATTACTATAGTATCACAATCTAATTTCATCACATTGGTTGCAGGCAACGTGAAATTGTTGGTACGATGATGTCACCGGTTTCTCTGGCCCTGAAGATGTTTACTTTTAGATACTGGCTATCGTCATGGACAGTTATGAAGCATGATTTGGGACAATAAAGAGAATCTCCCCCCCCTGTGTGTTTTCGTACCAAATACATCACGGCTTGTCTACAGAAGTTAGGTATGTTCCAAGCCTCCATACATAAATAGATAACAAATAGAACATTTGCCCTTTCTTGTCAAGGAAAACCTTTATCTAACCTCCTGAACTTTAAAAGTTGGCACTTTCACGCACGATAATATCTATTTTGTCACAAAAAGTAGCCTGTAAAACAGTGTCATTAGTTCATCTGAAAACAAGACAAAAATCACTGAACGCCACATACATGTATAGAGGTCACAGAATATATGTTAACATCAAGGTGCCCAATCCACAAGAGTTCAAGGCACTTTGATATTCATAAACCTATAATGAAGTAATATACTTAAGATAACGCTACGAATGCTTGTGGATTAAGACAAGGGGCAGATATGTTTCTGTGAAATGAGCACTGACTAATATCGCTAGATCCGTATAGTAATAATTAATTCCATCATACTAAAAAAGACCACATTCCAATCCAGACCAAAACCAGTCTTGGTATACGTTCGTGGATTGTTTTTGTTTACTACCTTTCATGATAATAATAAGAAGCTGTGTGCTTGAACACATCCCTCATCAATATTGAGATGATGCTATGAATGGACAATCATTAATTACAATATAGAAATGGACAAAAATTTCGAATTGGCTCATGATTACAGTAACATAAGTATCTCTTTTGGATGGAAAATGAAGTAAACTGTCTATTCCAGATATAAACTGGTAACCAAGAATATTCCTTTGACTTTACACCTGGAGCTTACTTATGTTATAATACTGAGGATATAAGGTTCCCCTGGTCAGTTACAAGGCAACAGTGGTTCATGGTACAGGTGCTGACACCTACAATTAGGACTGGCTACCCCTGCCACAGCTACAACTTGGATGTGGTCAAGATTCGGGAGTATGTGTCCTGTTTTATGGGAATGTAGGACTTAGTGACCTGATCAGCAAAATAGAGAGGATCGTCCACTAGGTTGATGTCAAATCCCTCCTTGACCAGCTCAACCTTCCTCTGTTTGAATGTAGCTGTCAGCGTAGCCTCCTTTTGAAGACGCAGAAACATTGGACGGGCATATGTAGCTAGATTTTCCTCACAGTGTTTCCAGATTTTTCGCAGGAGCTCGTGGGTCAAGGGTTTGTCATCGTAGAGTGTCAGGGCTGCCATGCCGGCTCGACCATCTTGCCCTGAAATACACAAGATGCTCAACTAATCAGCTGATAACAAAACTAGCTGGCACAAGTCATATACATCATCATTTTGTGAAGTAAACAATAACAATACAGAGAGAGTTTTTTACAATCACATTTTTCCTCAATATATACTCATGGAAACGAAAAAGGGAGCACATGAAAGTACAGGTGTTCCTTTATTTATTCCCTTTATTCATTTCGCCCACAGTGCAATATAGGGCTGGGACGGATACTCGGGTACTCGAATCCGGATCGGGTACAGCTGGATTCGAGTCCAATTCCAAGGAATCGAGTACCCGGAAAGGGTGAGAACTCTGTAATGTCAAGGGCATGTAACTCAAACCAAGAACAAAATGGACGACACACATGCTAAGTGTGTTTGGGCTCATTTTGAGCTTGATGCAAATGGCAAGAGAACGAAATGCCAACTCTGTGGTACCATGTTATTTATTGTGGAAGCAGTGCAAGTTCAATGAACAAACATCTTGCTTTAAAACACAACGTAAAACATAAAGGTGTTCATTGCATTGTGTAACTCTAATTGCTTATTAAGTTAGTTCATTAAATGCTGTTAAGATTACGTTGAATTTTGTTATTTCAATTTCATGAACACATCTTTTACTTCTGTGTCAAGGCTGAATACATTCACTATATAGAGACTGACTGACTGACTGAGTTTGGTTTTACGCCGCTTTTAGCAATATTCCAGCAACATCACGGCGGGGGACACCAGAAATGGGCTTCACACACTATATAGAGATTGTAATTAAATGATTCTATGTGTTGGGAATATCAATTAAAACTAATGAATTAACATATTAAAGCGAACGTTTATTGAAAGAGCACATTCTGATTTGCAAATACAATGTTCGACTGATTATCATGACAATAAGAAGAAAGTGATCAGAAATATATAGAAGCACAATTCACTTAGATCACATATAATACCATTTTAGTTAATATACATTTTATAGTTTAACAAATAATATCAGCATACAGTTATTCCAATGAAGATACGCAATGTTCACTTAATGTATACAAATTTAGAATATTTAAATAACAATAGTTTTGTGTGTTTTATTTATTTAAACGTGAAAATATAGCATTTAGATATATTCTCTTTATCCCTACATTCACACAAAAAGTATTTCAATGCAACTTTTAATAATCTTCTGGAAGGATAAAATTTAATCACTGTATTAGTTTGTATTGTATATTAGATTAAATAATGCAACTGAGTTAGTGCAACAGAGCAAAATGACCAGTCTTCCCTCATGCGAGCGAAGCATTTTGCTATGTTGCTAACTCAGTTGCATTACAGTTTGCCGGTCTGTATATCTCGTATAGACTTCTCCAGTCAGTAAATACATCAATCAAATTTTATTCTAGGTAAGTTTACAATAAATCTACATGTAAAACATTATAGGTTCAGTTAGAATATCACACCTGAAGGTAGTTGTGTACTAGTTGACAAAATAACGTGTCTTTCTCATTGACGTAACACACATTTACATCTTTGGTATTGTCCGGTTAATGGATGTTATTATTAACGATTGTTATTTAGTTGCACATGAGCAATGAGTTGTCATGTCACAGTAACAGTGCGAACGAAAAGTGCTGTGGAATGTACGTAATGGTGTTACCCTCTATATTAGTTAAACAGACGTAAATTAAATAGTCTAAGATCAGTTTCAATGTCTTATTGCCATCCTTTCAAATTTTGTATAATAATTTCTGTCAAATCGTGATTGGATATTCAGAAAGTTGACAGAGCGCTGTATTCCTTACATTTCCGGGTACTCGATTCCGATTCGGGTAAATACATGCGGGTACTCGATTCCATTTTTTCCTACCCGTCCCAGCCCTAGTGCAATACATACCTTGTGAAGAAACCTGGAAAAGAATAAAGGAAAACTTGTACTTCCATGTGTTCCCTTATTCGTTTCCATGAGTATATCACTCTGTGTGAAAGTTTAGGCAGTCAAGTTGTGTGAAAACAGTCAAAACTTCTAAATTCTTGGTACAAGCAAGTGAATCATTTGAGCAGAACATCGGACATCTAAATTTCAGCACACAAAAACGGTTGTTAAGAATCTAAATACCTACAAGTTGCGGTACGTGGCACCATGGCATGTACATACAAAAATACCATGAAATATTTTTGTCAATGTGAGTTTCTATGGTTAGGATCAAAATAGCTGATAAAGTTCAAGTAATACATCGAAAGATGCAAATGATTCTATTAATCTGCATACTTTGGCATATTAATACTTTCCTGACTGGTGATATTGCAGGAAAATTGCTAAAACGGCAGAAAACTATACTCACTCACTGTTAATCCTTCGTCAGACAGTCTGTCCTCGAATGTTATGAGTGTATAACTATGGTATACTTGGAATCCAGCTAACTTATAACAAGGCAACTGGTACACTACGTATTGGACAAATGATACAAGCATGCTAACTGGGATAACAACCTCAGGTTTCCCATCAATTTACAGCAAAATGTCTTCCACAGACCTGAAAACACCCACCTGGAATAGTGACGCCATAGACATTGGCATCATGGATGAAATCTAAGGAGGTCAAAATGTTGGCCACCTCCGTTGTTGATACGTTCTCACCCTTCCATCTAGAAACCAACAGCAGAGTTGACACTTTTAGTCGATGTAATAACACAATAGTGAGAACGACAACAAAGCTTTTTAGATTTATTCTGAGGCACTGAACATTCTGAATGGTAATAGCCTGCGGGACGAGCCATCAAGCCAGTGATGAAAAGAGGATATCTATGTTCTGATAAATATTGCAAAAATTAGTTAAATCTAGTTAAATGTTTTTTTGTTTATTTTAAAGATCAAACACAATCTCGTTAAAGAATCAGAACTTCCAGTGAGTGATATAACTGCTGTCTGCATCAAGATTTGACAACGTCTCCACAGAAATGAGTAAGTGAGTTTAGTTTTACGCCGCTTTCAGCAATATTCCCGCACTATCAAGGCGGGGGACCCCAGAAATGGGCTCATGCATTGTACTCATGTGGGGAATCAAACCCGGGTCTTCAGCGTGACTAGCGAATACATTAACATTAACCTTTAGGCTACCCCACTACCCACAAACTTTGACCAGCCAATCAAAATAAAGGATATGGGGGTACAGCTTTCAAAAACAAGATGACTTATTCTGAAACACCTTGATTTGGAAAATTTCAATCTCTGCCAAAGAAACCACCACACAAATATAACCCTGGAAACCCTTCAGTTAGTAAATCTCACAAACTCACAAACAACAGTATGTACAAAATATCATAACAATATTATTTTTTATATACTGAGTCAAAAAAGAAACTTCACATTTTTTCTTCAGGGCACTATAAAAGAACAAGATATGGTAAGATGGTTAAATTGTTATTATTTCATTGCTGAGATCTGTGTGATGTACTCGATACACTGACAGTGCCACAATCAGTTCCATTAGGCTACACCGCCGTTCCAAAACATGGGTATACAGAATGTCAAGTCACAAGAATAAAAATGCGAAATGTCTCAGTTCAATATCGTGTTTGGCCGCCCCGCGCATTCACCACTGCCAAACACCGTCTCCTCATCGACTGCCTGATGCTTGTGAACACGTGGTTGGGGATTCTGCGCCATTGCTCTTGCAAGGCAGCGCCAAGTTCCTGCAAATTCTGAGGTTGGTTCCTAAGACCACGAACCTTCTCCCAAGTGCATCCTAAGCGTGCTCTATTGGATTAAGGTCAGGGGACCTCGATGGCCAGTCCATGACGTTGATTCCAGCGTTTTGAAGGAAATTTCGTGTCAACATCGCGGTATGCGGCCGAGCATTATCATGCTGGAACTGAAGACCTGAGCCATGAGCCGCCATGAAAGGAACGAGATCAGGGGTGAGCACCTGGTCGCGGTAAGCAGCAGCTTTGAGGTTTCCACGGATGACCAGAAGTCGGGAACGGTTGTTCCCACAGAAAACACCCCACACCATGCAACTTCCGCCCCCCGAATCTTTCGACTTCCTGTACACAACATTGGGCATACCGTTCACGACGTCGTATCCAGACTCTATGCCTGCCGTCCGCGAATCTGAGGGTAAACCTGGATTCATTGCTAAAGACGACTCGATTCCAGTCTCTCTGGGTTCATCGGAGGTGTCGTTCGGCCCCCAGCAGACGTTGACGTTGATGAAACGGCGTCAATATTGGCCCACGATATGGACGTCGAAAATGGAGATTGGCAGCCCACAACCAATTTCGAATGATCTGTGAGGACAGTCGACCTCTAAACATCTCAGCCCTGGTTCGTGTAGCCGGCAGAAATCTGTCACGTAGGTGACGTAGGACGATTTGACGGTCTTCTGCTCGTGACGTCACACGTGGACGACCCGACCTTGGGCGATCAGAAGTGGTGCCAGTTTGTTGTAGATGACCTCGCAAGTCATACACAGTATGACGGCTGCATCCCATTGCTCTTGCGACGTCAATAACTGATCTTCCCGCTTGCAACATGCCAACGGCACGTTCACGTTGCACATTTGACAATCGTGGCATTTCAAGTACCGTTAGAACTGTGGTTTAAAAGTGTTTTTTTCAATTCTTGAGGCCAATGCAAACACGTGCATATGAAGAAAACTTCGATGCGAAAATCACGTGATCGACTGCACGTGCAAAACCTGATTTGGCTCTAACGTCATTTGCACGACGAATGGATGGGTTTGGGTGTGTTTTGCTAAAGTTTTTCTAGAGTCGAAAGATAGGGATCCCATTTCTGATACATAGATGTATCATCAGCGAAAAAATATTCATTATTTTTCAAATTACATTTTGTGAAGTTTCTTTTTTAACTCAGTAATTCCGGAAATTATATATTAGAAGCCTTGATGGTGATTGGTTAATTCGAAAGTTGACCTGCCATGACCCCCTACAATGTCCTCTTCTTGTAAAGAGGTATTGTATTCGGTAAAACAATCTGATATTAAAGAAAACGCTTCAGACATTTGGCTACAAACCTGAAAGTGTCACCAATTCTATCAACAAAGTATACAAAGTAGTCTCCGTCGAGGTAGAAGATGTCACCGAAGTTGAAGTAAGAGTCGCCTTTCTTGAAAACATTACGGACACGTTTCTTTTCATTGGCTTCCTGTGATGCCTTATAGAAGTTGACTTCTTTCATCTCTGGAGCAAAGGCCGAAATGAACAGGCCCTTCTCTCCTAAAACACACAAAGTACTCAATTAAAATGTTCAAATCACCACAGTTGGTATCCTCATGAAAAGAATATATTTTGTAACTTGTTTGAGTGGCATTTAGAAGTTGGTGTGATGAACAACGAGGAGAGTTCTATGGATATACAACTTCTTTATATATTATAATAATACGTTTCGGTGTAGCTACTAACACCGTTATCAAGCAAATGATGTTTGAATATAATATATATTTTGTTTTCAGTAGTGACAGTTCAGTCTCAATAAAGGAATTGCAAGTGATTTAATGGCAACTTAGTTGATTGAATTAAGTGTGAGCTAGGTTTCATTTGGCAACCTTCAGGGATTTCGTTTGTTTGTATGTTTCTATTTTTCTGGTATTTTTTTGTATTGTCATTTCTTAAATATGGAGTATTTATTGCTACAACGTATTTAGGACATTGGGTTTCTTGGACATGTATATCATCATTTGGGAATAGATTGAGGCCAAGCTGTTTTAAAGTGTACAAACATGGATTACCAGCTGTGACAGTCTTGCGGGGAAGCTGACACAAAGGAGGATTCTGATGGTTCAGTTTTTGTTACTTTTTGAACCATGCAACGTGGCATACGGGAGTGTGAGTGGCATAAATCTGGGGTTTCGCATCAACCAAATCTCGCAAAGTGTCGAAGCTGTGACACCAGTTCTTTAGGAAGAGCTTCAAACTTCAAACTTACTGGATATCTCATGTTGTGTAAACCATTCTATTACTAGGTAGTCAAATTTTACTGCTGCTTTGCTGTAATTTGTTTATATATAGGGATGTATTTTTACAAGGCTTTCTGATAAGTTAAATATTGTATGTTTATGGTTGGGCCTATATATTGTAATTGAGTTTGAATATTATTTCCATCACGCCTGTAGTGGTGGCCAACCGGAAGTAGTGCAGCAGCGTTGTATACGTGCTCAGTGAAGCAGTCATAAAATCAGACGCATTTTTTCAATCCAAATCTAATCTTAGTAATTGTCCAATCAAACTGGAGTATTTCACATAGTCATGGTAGAATTATTTATAAGAACCAGCTTTCTATATCATAAAAAAATCGCAAGTATACATACTGCAAATCCTCATAGATTCGGAACAATGTTTAACTGACAAATAAACCCCTAGTCTTTGTTATCATTTACGTTCTCACCCACTGTCTGCTAACTAAGAATTATTGATGTTTTCCAAAACATCAAAGAACTCTAAGGGTATTCATTTTTTGTTAGTTATTTTGTTAAGACCCTACTGCCACCAAGTTCACAAGAATGATAACAAATGAAGGCAGAAATTAGAAATATAAATAGAATGGCATAAACACATTTATAATAAGGTGAAACGGAAAAGATCCCATCATACACATGACTTTAACACTGCTGTTTGCAGGAAATGGCAAAAATACAAACAGAAAACAATAATTTAATGAAAAAGCTTATTCATTTCTCTCTCATATTCATTTAGAGAATGGATAGATAAACATATTGAAAGTGGAAGTAAAGCTAACCTGGTTTAACTTCTATACAATGTCCGTTGCTGTCTCTGATTGGTTCTGCCGTTGCAATGTCATATTTGACCAAGGTTTGGTAATTTGGACTCAACCTCTGCTGTTGAAATAATATCAATAAATAAATTTGTATAATCATTTATTGAGTACATGAATCATAGTCACTGCCATAAAAGTTAGCCGCTTCCGGGTGTTTCAATCATTATCGGAAAACAAGAACAAATGGTCAAGGACATTGAGTGAATGTTGTGTTATGCTGCTGTCAGTTTCCAGCCCTGTGGAAGTCCAGACTGTATTTATCGTTTGTGAAAGTGGGACTGTGATCATCAAACCTGTCCACATACTGAACTCACCAACAATGGGGAGAGTCTTCCAATAGCCCCAGGTTTGTTACTGAGGTTGAACAACATTGTGTTTCCTTCTGTTGCCCCAAAGAACTCAATTATTTGGGGTATTTTGAATCTCGTCTGCACCTGCTTCCAAATGTCTCTGCGCAGACCATTGCCAAATGCTGCTCGAATTTGATGACTCTTCTCGTCAAGGCTCTGAAAGGAAAACAGAAGTAGTCAATGAGTCCAGAGTCGTCTGTCCTATTTCTGAACATTGGTTGAGGTCAACAAGTTGTTCACAATTAAGAGAGAGTCTGTAGCCAGAACAAGAGCATGTTGGCACGTATATATAAAGGTGCTAGAACAGATCACCAATACGCTGTAGGAGGACACCCTGTAAACTCACCTCTGGCCGTGAAAGAAGATACCGGAACAGTTCACCAATATACTGTATAATGGTGACCCTGTAGCAAGAGCAGTCCTCCCAGAAGTGAGATGCTGAAAATTTCCTTCGCAAAACCATAGTTGCACCTACAAAGTTGGAAAGCCATATTTTTTAAATCTTTGTTGATATGATTAAATTACCATGCTTTTAAGTTCTAACTATCTGCATTTCTTTTGATCATTCAAATCTATTAATGCTTTAGAAAAGCAGATAAAATGATAAACCCATAACATGATAACATAAAAATGCATTTTATGTATTAAAATATATTTTATACTTATCCTGAACAATTTTATTTGCTTCTCTCTCTTTCAGCCCGAGATACAGTGTCTATGTTCCCCAACAACATGAAAATCATCTCACTTGAACACACCACCTCTTGCGCATGCGCACCAGCATGACTGTACGGTGACTTGCTACTCTCTCCATTTTCGAATCCAAAAACTTTGATAGCACTGTATTTAAGCCCCATGCTGGTGCTTTGAATTATTTCTGTTGATCTTCCAATCTTGAGCTTCACTTGAGGATGAGTGGCCTAGTTGCTGAGAACCCCTTCAGGGATGCAAACTGGTCAAAAGTCTTTCATTTATCGTCATAAAGACATCTGGAATATCTTCTCAAAGCTAAAGAGGCAGCCTTGGTTGCTTTAGCTGAGTACCCTCATTTGGTAAGGCAGTTCTTTATACATTCCATACGTGAAACTCAAAGACATCCGGTTTTGAGTGTGGTTGCCTTGCGTGTGGATGTTTGGCCAGTTTGGCAGTTTTAGACTTGGTTTTCCCGCTAACGCCATCAGACTAGGAAACCACATTCTCGATGGCCAGTAAGGTGCTATCAAAATCAGTCTCAGGTTCCTTGTGCAATCTTTTCTAGGACTCTCAGCAAAAACACAGGTGGAGGGAACGCATATGTGTGAAGTCCTTCCCAGAATATTGCTAGCAAATCTATGGTCCATGCCAGTGGGTCTGGAGCTGGGGAAACAAAGGTTGGGATCTGTTTGTTGAATCTTTTTGCAAACAGGTCTATTTGCCGACAACCTTGCTCCTGGGCCTCTAGTTGAAATTACTTTGAATGTAACATACGTTCTGTTGGCGATGGCTTGTTTGGCCTCGATAGCGCATCTGCTATCACATTATTCTAACTGAACCTATAATGTTTTACATGTAGATTTATTGTAAACTTACCTAGAATAAAAATTTGATTGATGTATTTACTGACTGGAGAAGTCTATCTGAGATATACAAACCGGCAAACTGTAATGCAACTGAGTTAGCAACATAGCAAAATGCTTCGCTCGCATGAGGAAGACTGGTCATTTTGCTCTGTTGCACAACTCAGTTGCATTACAGTTAGTCTATTATACAATACAAACTAATACAGTGATTAAATTTTTTTATCCTTCCAGAAGATGATTAAAAGTTGCATTGAAATACTTTTGTGTGAATGTAGGATAAAGAGAATATATCTAAATGCTATATTTTCACGTTTAAATAAATAAAACACACAAAAACTATTGTTATTTAAATATTCTAAATTTGTATACATTAAGTGAACATTGCGTATCTTCATTGGAATAACTGTATGCTGATATTATTTGTTAAACTATAAAATGTATATTAACTAAAATGGTAAACACCTTTATGTAGCTCCTGGGATGTGCCTTGCCTTTATCTTTAGGTTTAGGCTGTCTGTCAGTTTGCAAAGTCGACACGTCAACTTTTGCAAACAAGCCGACCTCATTGTGCCGTGAAGGTTTATGTAAAAGTTGACAACTGTGTTGTCTGTGCGGATCATCAGGAAATCAGGAACTTGTCCTTGAACTGATGAGACCCATCAGCTATGGCTCTGATCACTGCTTCATACTCTAGCTGGTTGATATGAAGAGATGCATCTTCCTTGGACCAACATCCGGCTGTCACTTCTAAATTGATGGTAGCTCTCCAGACTTTAATTGAATCTTGAGATCCGGATGATCCAGATATGGTCTCAGGTATCTCAGAATTGGTCTTAATTGCAGTCTGCCCCTCACTGTTAGAGATTGAGCTGACGTGAGGAGTCACTGTATCTCTTGCCAACGCTTGACTGAAAATCTTGCGTTGAGAACTTGCGGTAGGTAACTTGCACCTGGATTTTTATCCAGGGATCTTCAGGTACTTAAATGCAATTCCTTTTTTGTAAGGAATCTGATTTCCAGAAATTAGAGATCTTGTGACATTAGAAGCTACGACTTCTGAAAGTTGATTCCCCACCTCAGCTTAGTTAACAACTGTATGGTGAAGTTCAACTGACGTTTGAGTAGCTATACTAGTTGGTGAGCTTGAATGCAGTCGTCACTGCATATTTCCCCTCTTGTGAAGATAAGCCACATGGACTTTGTCACACGTGTAAACAACCACAGGGCCATAGATAAACCTAAAGGAAGGACTTTCCATTGGTAGTATCGGCCTTGGTTAATGAAGCACAGGAACTTCATGGACTTCTTATGAATGGGTATATGTAGGTACGAATCTTGAAGATCTATGCTTGCACGATAATCGTTTGGTTTTATCAGGCGCGTCAGGTCTGGAAGATCGAGGATCATGTACTTTTGTGGCTTTTGAAAATGCTTTCTGTTGAAGTTTTTCATGTTGTAGATTAATCGGACCTGGTAATTGGTACCAGGAAGATCGTCAAATATAAACCCGGAGTCAACTCTTTTGGTTGAATGAAATCTACCACGCCTTTGATGAGAAGTAACTCTATCACTTTCGACAACTTTGGCAGGACATTCTCTGAAGATTCTATCATTGAAGGGTTTGTAGTTAAAGGAAGTATTTTTTGTAACTGTATCTTGTAACCGTCTTTTAAAATCTCTGATGTGAATACGTCTTCTAAGATGTCCCAGTTCTGTCAACATATCGTCAGTCTTTCACCCACAGTGGACGGTTGTATGGGAATGGCTGGGGGTAAAATGCAGTCCCGCATATATAGCTTAAACATCGAGTTCATTTGAACTGATTTGATCAGCATCTGATCTCTTGAATCTTGGGCAAGGTATCTGTTCACACGTCGGATAGAACCATCAAAATAATGAAGTAAGGGCTTCGTGTAGAGGTCTGACCATTGATAATTGCAACAAAGTGAGGCCTGCTGAGGTGGAGCTCATATGATCTGGAATGAACTCCTGGTTTCCTTTCTGTGTGACCATGGCAGACAGAAACATTCTCTCTCAGTCTGACTGTGGGTTCAACCCTTTCCAGTGCATTCAGCATAGCTTCGTTAATCACACAAGAGATGGTCAACACTGTAGTATCCAATTGCGCTAATTTCTTATCTTCAACCCTGTAGGTCTTCGATTTGGAGTCACTTATTAAAGAGTAATCTTCGTCGACCTCTGACACTTTGTTGAAAACCTCAGTATTGTGTAGAAGTATCCTCTTAGAACTGAATGGAGGTGTAGGCAGCCCTTGAGCCTTAGTGGTCTTCGTGAAGACCATTTCAAGATTTTACACCACTTATGAAATAGGCTTCATTGAGGGGATTGTTAATGTGTTGATATCTTCGCTCTCGGTACAATAAGTGTCTGCAGGAGACGAATCTCTTGTTGGCGAAGAAATAGGTAGGCCATCGGCAATCCAGGCTAATAATAGCTTGAGAAAAGTAGAATGGCAGCATGAACGCTGATTGGTGCATGGAGCCCTGTTGCTGCGTGAAGTTATGGGCTTGTGCAAAGGGTTGAGGCTGTGTGAATGATTGAGGCTGATGGAACGCATGCGGCTGCATGAAACTGTGCGGCTGTGTTAAGCTTTCAGCGTGAAGGCCTGTTGCTGTGTGAAGTTCTGTGCCTGTGTGAAGAGGTGAGGCTGCGTGAAGGCATGCGGCTGCGTTAAGCTCTGAGCCTGCGTGAAGCTCTGATGCTGCGTGAATGGCTGAGACTGCGTAAAGGTCTCCGTAGACACTCAGGAGTGTGAAGGCTTTGCAGATGAAAGCTGGACTACCTCGACTTCTGGCGGAGCTTTTGCAAACGGCATATCATCTGCGTCGCATGATGTACTCTTCTGAGAGTCCTGTGTGCAGGTCTCAATTTCTTCAGTCAGCATAGGTGGAAGCAATGCTCTTGATGTAATAGTAGCAGCTGGATTCATAGAGAATTTTCTTCCAGCTTTGTTCTTTAGCTTGGTTAGCTTTTGAAAACTCTTCTGTTCTCCCAAAGGAGCTTTCCTCTTAGAACGGTAGCCCTTCACCGCCTTTGTATTGACTAAGTCAACAGAAGAACTATGTATTGGTATTTCTTTTGTTGACTGAAAAATAATCCAGATTGATAGCATGTAATACATTATTGTCCATAGGGAGCTGTAGTGGAATGAATTCTGCTAGGTCAATCATCTTGTATGTGGGTGTAGACGACTGTGACGACGATCTGGAATTTTCCTGCCTTTTCTTGTCCATCTTTTTGCGTTGCACAGCAAACAAGTGATTTGCAAATCTGTTGTCCCTTAACGGGCGCAGAAACTACATTTACTATTTATATTCCATTTTTGTTGACGTATGATGAACAAATTGGAACTGAGTCACAGTCTGACACTCTCGATTTGCAGACGGAGCATGTTTTCATGTGACCAACGTGAGTTGTAATTGAGCAAAAACAATTGGATAATTAAATATCAATTTTGAAAAATAATCCATGGCTATGAAAATCAGAGGATATATTAATCAAACCTAAGTATTGATTTTGATAGATGACTCATTATTAAAGAGGACTGACTTGGATTTAGACAACATAGTGATTTTCTCCCAACCAAATGGGGGGAAATGGGGAGAGTGACGAGTCATCGCACGGTCACGGGGATGATGATGTGCATGCACAGGAGGTGGTGCGCTCGGGTGAGATGTTTTTCCTGTTCTTGGGGAACATAGACACAGAAGTTTCCACAGACGGAGGGTGAAACAAATAATATGAGTCAGGATAAGACAAAAAAACATAACAAAACAAATATTTTAGAGTGACACACTTGAAGCTAACTGACTCCTGATTAATATCTAACAAAACAGCTTACAATCTCAAGTCCTTCAGTCTGTTTTACACAGCTAGCATGTAAAGTAATTGTATAATTGTTCTAATTGTTCATGTAGATGGTACATACACTACAGTCAGACACAACATTGCAAATATGCATGCAGTACAAAGCCTCCTCCACCAGTGTTACAAAATGACTGCAGTCAGCCATGACGATACAAGAAGCAACGCAGTGCAAAGTACCAAGGCTGCTCTCAGAACTTTGGATAGAAACTTTAGCTTCATAAACTTTGATATCAAACATTTTACGAGCAGTCGTGTCTTATTCTAGTAAAAAAGTATGACAACATGACATATATGAACTTTAACGACTTTTCAGGGCTACTTCATCAGTTAGATATTAAGGTTTGGTATATTTTACGATTAGGTTATTTGCACTTTAATGTTCAAAGAAATTACTGAGTTGTTGTATTCTTGAATAGATAAAACACATCAGGGGAGCACTTAAGGTTGAACAGACAAGAGAGGCATTTGACATCATCAAAGCACGTCATCCTTCTTAGAGTCCAGCCAACCTGCGCTGTGGTACAGCCACTGTCAGGTACAACACGTCATCCTTTGATGAACTCCACCAACATAAAACGCCCACTGGTTTGACGTGCCTTGAAGTATGCCTATAAAAACACTGGTTTTAATTTGGTTTGGAAATGCATTTGCCTATTCGACATACCAACTTTGATTGTCCCAAACAGTCCGATGCCTCCACCTGAGCTGTGGTAAAGTGGAAGTACGGTGTACACGATGTCATTGCTGGTGCAGTTGGCAATTGCAAGACCGATGCTCATTTCCCTCAAAGAGAAACAGGTGCTGGTTTGGGCAGTCCTGAGAGTCAAATGAGGAATATCAATGGCAGATTTTCAAATTTGTGGCATAACAGAAATAGATAGCGGGTATATTTCATTTTATAACACATGTACTGTGACATGACAAAAACCTTTATCATGTTATAGATCACCCTCTTTTATTCCAAACAAAACAAATGAGGACATTGCGTTATGCGGTATGGATAAGAGAGTATAAGGTGTCATATGAAACAACCCAGATAATATAAAGATATGGATAAGAAAGTATACGGTGTAATATGGAACAACTCAAATAATATAAAGATCACCAGACTTCCATAGGGTTCATACTCGTCTCTGGATTTGCTTTTTTTTCCAAGGACCACTTTTATTCATCCAAAAGTACAAACTAAACGACTGAATCCAGTAAATTTACTCCTTACAATGACATTGTTTTTGGTGACAATAACTTGTCTGTGAGATAGCAGAACCCTTCCTCTAATTATGTCAACATTAATTTCCTTTATGCAGCAGTAACCATGGGAATACATAATCACTTGCTTTTGTCTTTAGTTTCATGAACCCATTGGTACCTTTAAACTGATGCACGATGAAAAACACTCCTCCTCATAATTTGAAGACATTTCTGAAGCTAACTATCTGTCCGGCTTCCAGCGGTGTCTCTATAACATTCCTGACATTGTTCTGGTTCCAGGGAGAAAAGAGTTCAAGAGCTGTATTATAAATCTAAAAACTTAAAGTATGTAACCCATGATAGAAGATACCATATTTCCTTGAGTATAGTGTGCACGAATGTATAATGCACACACCCTTCAAGGGGAATCAGTATTTCTGTTCGAAAGATTTGTGCATAATGTGCAGACAAAAACTACTAGTTACAATTAGTCTGTGAGATAGTAGAACCCTTTGTATAATTAGATCAACATTAATTTCCTTCACGCAGCCATAACCATGGTGACACATTCCTTGAGCATAGCAAACACCCCTCAAGGACATTCAGTATTATGGTAACAAATATTTATTATTATTTATTAAATATAATGTGCAGACAAAATCTACATTGTATACAGAATTGAAGCTGGTTCTCTGATACACAGGGAGAAATCAAGAGGAGGAACTATACTCGAGCTTATCCTAAAGCAAAACAGACAATCAACTCCGTAAGACAAGTTGGCTGGAATGGTGCAACAAGCTTTATGTAGATCTAAAAATAAGAAGTGTAGAAACACTTTGCAACAACATCAAGATGTGTATTGGTTCCGTGATTAACATCAAAGTTGCTCCACATCGTCTCTGGAATCTGTGTGTAATAAATTTGTATGAGATTGCATCTCCTCCTGTTTACGGCTTCGGAAATCTTGGTATGTTACCTGTAACATTGGGACAATGTCTGTCCCGTGACCGCGAATGGGAGGACGTTGTTAAACATCAATTGCTTTAGTGTGAAAGCCTCGTCAAACACAGACATGTGCTTAGTGAGTCTCCATTAGTCTCGACACCCATATCAGGACACTGCTAGTGATGAAGCTAAGGTCCTGACACATGTCGGTGCCTTTACAAATGTGGTTCATGACATGACACTTGACAGCCAGGCGACATGTGTATTGTGGCTAGTGATGAAGCTAAGGTCCTGACACATGTCGGTGCCTTTACAAATGTGGTTCATGACATGACACTTGACAGCCAGGCGACATGGGTATTGTGGCTAGTGATGAAGCTGAGGTCCTGACATGCCTCGGTGAAATTACAGATGTGGTCCATGACATGAGTCATTGGCACTTGGCAACTGGACAGCTGGGCAACATTCATGAGTATTGAGGCTAGTGATGAAGCCTACCCGTGAAGGTCAGGGTTAGAATAATGATCTTCAGTAACCCATGCTTGTCGTAAGAGGCGACTAACGGGATCGGGTGGTCAGGCTCGCTGACTTGGTTGACACATGTCATCGGTTCCCAAATGCGCAGATCGATGCTCATGCTGTTGCTCACTGGATTGTCTGGTCCAGACTCGATTATTTACAGACCGCCGCCATATAGCGGGAATATTGCTGAGTGCGGCGTAAAACTAAACTCACTCACTTAGTGATGAAGCTAAGGTCCTGACATATCTCGGTGCCACCACAGATGTGGTCCATGACATGACACTTGACAGCCAGGCAACATGTCAGCTTACGGAATGCAACATGGATATTATATTTGTAAAATGATGTACACACCATGTAAATACAGTTCTTCACATTTCTCTTCATGTCTGCCAACTCTGTTCAACTTGCCACATGTATATATCTACTGCCATTTCAGATTGACAAGTAATGGAATGACATTGCATGTACTCTATAGTGCACTATACACAAGAAAATATGAAAATCCTTTTCAAGTTGACGGCAACAGGAAATAAACAGCACACTGAAACTCAATGTGACGGTAAAACTGCAGAATTGCTTGACATTGTTAACTTTGAGCATTGTTATCAGATCTGTGTGGACCGCCTCTGTGGTGTAGTGGTTAGAGCGTCCGCCCGGAGAGCGGAAGGTCGCGGGTTCGATCCCCGACCGCGTCATACCAAAACACGTTAAAATATGCTACTTGTTGGTCCCTGCCTGGCGCTCGGTATTAATGGGTACAACAAGGACTGGTCGGCTCAGAGTCAGTATAATGTGTCTGAGTGGGGTATTCATGCTTCACTGTGGCATGGTATCTCAGTGTGCTAGCACTATAAAACCAGCTAAAGTCTGGGCTAGTACAAGCAGCCACACATACATATACACACGCATGCACGTCGTCATATGAGCGAAATATTCTCAAGCACGACGTTAAACCCAATTTCACCTCACCTCACCTCAGATCTGTGTGAACCCTCCCCTGTCAATAAAGAATACATCTCTATTCATAAACATTTAGTACCTGTAGTGCCAGATGTGTAAATATAACAAGATGGGGTCATTGGTGTTAAAGCTGCACGGACGCTGGCGTCAACTCCAGCAGGGGACGATTCTGCCTTGAGATCATCAAATGAGACGTAGCCAGTAGGCACCTGATTGGCTGAACATCCTTGGATATATATTGGCATGCGACCAAACTTTCCTTCCTCGGCATGGACTGCATCAAATAGTTCCGCTCCTGTAGGAATTTGGATAACATTGTGTTTATGACACTAGGAAACAATTTCATAAGATGCAAGAGTGAGTGAGCATTTTTAACAGCACTCCAGTTATATCATGTCATAGCATCACAGTGTAGGAAGAAGCCATTAAGTGCTGCAGTGGCCAATATTGTAAAATCAATGACCTCAGGTATGGTGATGAAAAACCTTGAAACATAAAGTGGACAAACTTGGATTCTAACCCATAATCATTGGTTTCTGGGATGACCAAGGGACAAAACTAAACATAATGAATTTTGGAGCTTCAGAATTGGTCCTGTGCCTACAGAACATAAAAGAAAATGTTTCAAAGACGAGAGTTTCAGTATTCCACATTGCACAAACTACAATGTCTCGAGGTAGACTGGAACGGCACCAACCTATTGACCAAATCCTCTTTAAAGATCATCCAGAGAACACTTCCATTATATTATGAAAACTATCCTGGAGCTATCTGTAATAGTAAATTGGTTATAGCAAGGTACAAGAGACAAAATGTTAACATTGCTGTCCATTGAAATAATCCTGTTCCTCCCTGGTGCAAACAAGCCATGATATCCCCAGTACTTCATTTTTCTTATTCACTGTCTCAAATACAACAGGCAGACCACCTCCCTTCCACAACCGTAATACACTGGAAAACCCTTTTTCTACATATGAAGTATAATCTACCACAATCTTTGATTAGATACAAGGTTGTCATACAAGGTTGTAATAATATTGAATATTTATACCAAATTCTTGTTCAGAAGGTCCATTCTGAATGGTTGTTGATTTTAAGCTCAAGAGTGACAGTAATTCTTTAGTAAGAGGAATAGTAACGGTGATATCTCCTACAAAAATAACTTTGTCTGTCTGTCCAGGGTATTTTAGAAACAGAATGGAGATACAATGCACTAAGTAAGCAAGGTTGGTCTTTCAACAGTAAAACTCCGAACACTCACTCACTCCAGTTGCTTCAAGTGACAACCTTGAACAAGTTGACGAAGGCAGCCATTAAAACCTTAAATAAACAGAAGCATATAGCATAATCAGGAAATACTTGAAAGCATCAAATCACCTGGTCCAACGATGAATGCCTTGGCTCCGATAGCATTGACAGAATGACTCAGCTGTTTGTGACGCAGGTTACAGTTGATCAGAGCTGCTGCTATTCCCATTTTCTGAAGACCTGTAACATAATATATGGAAGTTACCAAGGCTACCACACTTCTGCTATGGTAGAATAATCATTTGGAACTTCAAATGACAAACGACTGAGAATCCTATGAAACAGAAAGGGGTCTGAGCTGATGAATGATATCGTTTACTTTCCTTACAGCCACAATTTTCTCATTTATTTGTAAAACATTTACCTTTTTGCACAAAACTGATCTCTAAACACACTGAATACCTCCAAAGTTAATTTATCAATGTTCTTATCCGTAAGTTGTCAACCTGTTATTTGTTACGATATGGTACGATGTGGTACGATATGATATGATATGATACATGGTATGATATGACATGATGTAATATGGGGTGTTATGATATGATGTGATACGACAAAGTATGTGTAATGGCGATGTTATATGACGTGATACATTTTGATGCGATATGACATATTGTGATTTGACTATTTTTATTCTTTTCTATGATATTGTGTACTATGATTTTGTATACTATGGGCCTGTGGCCTTCGGTATGAATAAAGATTGAAAGATTAATAAGATTCCTGCACTGATCCACCAATTTGACGGTAAAACTGTAGAATTGCTTGACATGGTTAACTCTGAGCATTGTTATCAGATCTGTGTGAACCCTCTCCTGTCAATAAAGATTTCATTTCTATTCATAAACAAACCCAGAAGGTATGACCGTATTACCAGTAGTGCCAGACGTGTAAATATAACAAACTGGGGACATTGGAGTTAAAGCTGCACGGACGCTGCCGTCAACTCCAGCAGGAGACGATGCTGCCATGAGATCATCGAATGAGATGTAACCAGTAGGCATCTGATTGGCTGAACATCCTTGGATATATATTGGCATGCCACCAAACTCTTCTTCCTCAGCATGGACTGCATCAAAGAGTTCCGCTCCTGCAGGAATTTGGATAATATTGTATTTATGACACAAGGGAACAATTTCATAAGCTGCAAGAGTGAGTAAGTTAGCATTTTAACAGCATTCCAGTTACATCATAGTCACAGTAGCACAGTGTGGAAGGAAATCATTAAGTGGCCAATATGGTAAAATCAATGGCCTCATGTATGGTAATGAAAAACCTGGAAACATAATCATTGGTTTCTGGCATGACCAAGGGACATAACTCTACATAATAAATTTTGGAGCTTCAGATGATTGGTCCTGTGCCTACAGAACATAAAAGAAAATGTTTCAAAGACGAGAGTTTCAGTATTCCACATTGCACAAACTACAATGTCTCGAGGTAGACTGGAACGGCACCAAGCTATTGACCAAATCCCTCTTTAAAGATCATCCAGATAATATTTCCATTCTATTGTGAAAACTATCCTGGACGTATATGTAATATTAACTTTGGTTTTAGTAATGTTCAACAGACATAATGTTATACATTGCTGTTCATTCAAATAATCATACTCCTTCCTGATTCAAACAAGCTATGAAATCACCAGTACTCCATTTGTCTTATTCACTGTCTCAAATACAGGCAAACCACATCCCCTCCACAACCTCAATACACTGGAAAACATTTTTTTCAAACATAATATGAAATATAATCTATCACACTCTTTGATTAGATATTTTGAGCCTTTTCAAGTCATACAAGGCTGTAATAATATAAATAGTTATACCAAACTCTTGTTCAGTAGGTCCATTCTGAATAGTTGTTGATTTTAAGCTCAAGGGTGACAGTAATTGTTTGGTAAGAGGAATGGTAATGGTGATGTCTCCTACAAAAACAACTTTGACTGTCCAGGGTATTTTTAGAAACAGAATGGAGATACAATGCACTTGGTAAGCGAGGTTGGTCTTCCATCAGTAAAACTCTGAACACTCACTTACTCCAGTTGCTTCAAGTGACAACCTTGACACCCCTTGAACAGGAAGAAGAAGGCAGCCATTATTGGGCAACAAATGTTAAAACCATAATTAACAGAAGCATATAACATAATCAGGAAATACTTGAAAGTATCAAATAACCTGGTCCAACGATGAATGCCTTAGCTCCGCTAGCATTGACAGAATGACTCAACTGTTTGTGAGGCAGGTTAAAGTTGATCAGAGCTGCCTCAATTCCCATTTTCTGAAGACCTGTAACATAATACATGGAAGTTACCAAGGTTACCACACTTCAGTTATGGTAGAATAATCATTTGGAACATCAAATGACAAACGACTGAGAATCCTATGACACAGAATGGGGTCTGAGCTGATGAATGATATTGTTTGCTTTCCTCACAGCCGCAATTTCAATGTTTTACACAAAACTGATCTCTAAACACACTGGATACCGCCAAAGTTTATTTACCATACTGTATCACTAACCCCTGTGTTACTTGTAGCTTGTCATGCTTCACATGGATACTTCAAGATTATGTGAACATCTTCTTGTTGCGTGTAATGGTGTTACACTGATGTGTCATTAATCATGTTAATCTATGTGACCCTGACAGCATATCGGTCTGTATTCAACGAAGGCAAATTCATGGGACCATGGTGTAATGTGGCCCTGTCTGTTACAACTTGCTTTTCACATCAACATGCACCCTCTACCACTCTCACATCAAGTGCAGATAATAGCAAACTTTTTATAATGAAGTGATATTGATGTGGCAACCCATCTGAAAATGCTTATCAATATTTCTTTGAGCGTTGAGTGAGTGAGTGAGTGAGTTTAAATGTATCGTCACGTGGGCAATATTTCAGCCATATCGTGACGAGAACAATTAATTTTATACATAGTAATTAATGGTAAATTGTAAAAACCTGTCAACGAAGGACAGTAAAAAAACAAGATTATCACAGATTCGAATTTAAAACTAGTAATGAGATCTAAAACAGTTTAACTTTGGATGACAATACAATATAAAAACGTTAACAGGCTATATTTTGCCAACAACTGAAGGTAGATCACCATACTAGGGGCCATGGGGACTTACAGTACATTTGCTTCCTGCATGGGCCCTAGCTGGATTTACACCATCCCTTCAGCCGTTAGCAATTTAGGTAAAAATAGCCATAGATTCAAATAACATATATACTACGATTAAAAATAGTAGTAGGTTTAAATTTACTGTGAATTCATTGGGACGTGCCCTCTCAGGAGGACAATGATTTTACAATATTTCAACCACCTTTGAGGGTACAGCCACTAACAATCTAAGTTACTAATCTAAACTACCAATCATTCTTTTTAAAAACCAATCATTAAATGAGAATTAACAGTAGTAAAAAGATCATTAACTGTTTTCACATTGAAATATTATCCCTTACGATGGATTGAGCGTTGAGTTAAACAGCAGCAAAACATCATGTTTAAAGCTATCGAAAATGTTTGTGATTGCTATTCTAATCTTCCTTGTGTCTGTTTTTAATAGTTACTCTTCATGTGATTTGTTACAGTGAATAATCTCGGAGAGGTTTTATAGATTGTAAGAACTTGGCCCCAATCCGTCTCATTTTGTGAATGCAATATGTCTAAGGTGAGATGGTCAGCTGAAGAAAGGCTGTAAATGTTGAAAGGTATCACAAGTTTGTGTAATTATTTAACTGCCATGTATTCACTTTGCCTGCTTTGCACAAATGTGGTCTGACATGACCTAATTGGGCAAACTTATACCAGTAACAGCCAACAAGTTTACAAATGGATATTGGTAAGTGTGTTATGGAAAATCTTGACGGAGACCAGAGAAAACATTAGTAATATCGGAGTACATTCTTCTAACTTTTTATTTTGTTGATCTCTGGTCATGGCTATGTTAAAATACCGATCAGATTTGTACAAGAATGGAAAGAAATGCCACAGTAACTTCCCCAGCTATTCAACATGACCAAACTACATTAATCATTACTCTGACATCTGTATTAATGGATTGTAACTCAACACAGATCTCTTCCCGTTTTGGTAATAATTGGCTTTTACTGTCCAGCAAGATACGTAGACTGTGTTACATCTTCCTCAACAGTTCAAGGGGCGGTGAGGTAGCCTAGTGGTTAAAGCATTGGCTCGTCACGCCGAAGACCCGGGTTCGAATCCCCACATGGGTACAATGTGGGAAGCCATGCGATTTAAAACTTTTAAGGGAAACTGATTCTCTAACATATAAAGGGAGATTATTCCAAAGTTGTGCAGGTGATGGGAAAAATGATTGACTGTAGAGATTTGTGCGGGAATAGTACAGGGAAAGATCACGAATGTTTCTAAGATTATAATTTGTCCTAGATTCAACAGTTTGAGGCATAAGATCACAAAGGTAGGATGGAGCATTTTTGTTGTAGATATTATAGAATAAAGACAGTTTACGACATCTTATTCTTTCTTTTAACATTTCTCAACCTGTTTCATATATCAGAGTATCTCTAGTAGCATATTTTGGTAAACCAGTAACTATCCTGGCGGCCTCAAACTGAACTTTTTCAATTTTATCGGTTAAATCTACCGTACAACCATCCCACAATTTACAAGTATATTCATTTCTGGTGTTCCCCTCCATGATGTTGCTGGAATATTGCTAAAAGCGGCGTAAAACCAAATTCAGTCAGTCAGTCAGTCCTCAACAGTTCAGCCATGAGTAAATCGCAAATGTTATTTAACAAGGCAAATGAACAAAATGCTCTATTACTTGCACATTTTATCACTGAACATGCTTGAAAAAACAATAGTCTAACTAATGAACATGGAGAGATGTTCCATTATAATGTGTCATTTCACTAAATTGCTGATAAACATAGTATTTTATCACTATATGCACTGTAAATGTTCATGTCTTACTTTAAGAAACTAAACATTGTAAAAGAGATATTACAGCAAATGTCTCAAAATTATCTCACCAAGAAATGTCCACACAAAAACATTAGTCTAAACAATGAACATAGCAAGATGTTCCGTCATAAAGAGTTACATACATACATTGTAAATGTTAATATCATACCTTTTGAATTTAAACACTGTACAAGACATTAGTAACACTAAAGAATACAGGAAAAATCTCAAAAATATCTCACCAAGAAATGTCCACACAAAAGCTGGCTCATTGTAGATCATCATGGCCACTGTGTCCCCCACCGACAGCCCCCATGTCCTCACAACATTTGCTACTCTATTGGCTTGCTGGTCAATGTATTCATAAGTGAAAACATTGCCTTCAAAAATAATAAACGGCTTCCTGGGTTGATTATAGACATGTTTCTCAAATCTGTCTATCAGAAACTCTCCACTTTCCAAATCTTTATCCTTTTCAGTTTTGAGGCGCTTCTGCACCTTGATGATCTTGAGGTCATGATTTATCCAAGGAAACATGGTTTTCCAGGCCACAACAGACGCCCCTGCTGCCCCAGCAACACCGTACACAACCTTGTCCAACATGCTGCCAACTGTATCAGTTCACGTCTGCTCTCACATAACAGGTCGCCTGGAAGAAGAAGGAGCACATGGATCATGATGGTGCTTCATGCAGTATTAGATAGGACTGTATTGTATTGACTCATGCTATGGGATCATGCTGCGATCATGTATCAATACAAATATTGAAATTGATTGTAAATTACTATTTTCTGATAGTGTGGTCTTCTCAAGAACCAGGCCCCGATTTCTCGAAACAAACTTAAGTCTGAGTTTTGACTTAAGTTCGAGTTTTTACTCAAATTTGAAAAACGCAGGAAAATGCATTTCACAGAACGAACTGAAATCAGTATTAAACTCGAACTATAGAAGATAATTTGAGTTTGGTGGATAGATTACTTAAGTTGTTTGGGCTTTTATATTTTAAAAATGCAGTAAAGTTAAAAATTCAGCTGTTCCAAATTGTGAACTCAGTTTGAGATTTGAGTAAAAACTTAAGTTTGTTTCGAGAAATTGGGGCCAGGTGAGATAGGTTATTAACCATATTTTCATGACAGAGGTCTGTGAGATAAGTTGATTAGCATGTTTTGATTATCATGTTTTCATGACTGAGGCCAGTGAGATAAGTTGTTTTTGCTATGGGTAAGCACATCAACTGTTGTCCCGTACCTTGCAGCAAGCTCCCAGACCAGCTGATGCCGAAATAAGAAAACTGAGTAAGTTTAGTTTTACACCGCTTTTAGCAATATTCCAGCAATATCACGGCGGGGAACACCAGGAAAGGCTTCACACATTGTACCCATTTGGGGAATCGAACCCGGGTCTTCGGCGTGAAGAGCGAACGCTTTAGCCACGAGCCCCACCTCCCTGAAAACTTGAGACTGTGAAGAGAAGTATACCAGTACACAATAAAAATATCTATTTCAAAATAAATTGTATGCCATTTTTCACAATGTTGGTATTTTGTCCACAGTGTGCAGACATTTTGTCCTATGGGTTTTTGTCCTCAATTTAAAGGGGTACTGATCCAGAGCAAATAATGTGGTTTAAGCATTTTTTTTTATTCATGAAAACGAGTTGGGATTGGTGAACAAGCATTACTTCTTATGTTAGCGCCGCTCCCGTGCAACATAAAATACGAAATGAAATGGAGGATGTGACGTCATCGATAATGACTATTGCATAAATATAATATTTATAAATATATATACATATACATGTATACAGATTAACCAAATACAACTATTCTCTAAGTAGTCATACTTATCATAATTAGAGAGTTACAGTTGTGTGTCTAACAAGCCATTGTAGAAATATAATCAATCATGAGAAGGTTGTTGAGTTAATTTAATTATTTTCCTGAGAATATTTGAAGCGTTGTGTCTTGATGTTATAATAGTGGACGGATTCAACAATTTTCTGGTTTGCACAAAGAGTAAATTCTTTGTTCCGGTTCAAAATGTTATCCAGGTTATAACCGGTAGTGTAAAAATACATATTAATTCTTATCTGAGTATAGTTACCGCAAGTGAGGAAATAGTGTAGGGTGTTTTCACTCTGATGTCCACAAGAACAACATGGGCTGTCTATTCAATGTCTGTTATACTATCCAACGTTTTACGCACAATAGTGTGGTCATTCCATGTACAGTTGCTTTGGAGTGTTAATCCTAATGTTTATGACTTTTGACTTCTTTTATGATTGTTCCGTCCATGAGAAGGTTCGTTTTCAGAGATGGTTTCGCTTTACGGGCCCATTGTGGAATTTTAGCTAGGTCATTGTTAAGACGGGTAGCAGCAACTGATGGATCTTCTATGACAACATATAATGAAGTGTCATCCGCATAGAGACAAATGTTACTGTAAATACCACATACAATATCATTGTATATAGGAAACAGAAGTGGTCCAAGGACAGAGCCCTTTTCTTGTCAGATTTATACTCGATAATTGCTACCCAATTCTAAACAATTTTGAAACCATTTTAATAGTTCGCCTTGGATTCAATAAGTTTTCAGTTTATAAATAATTCCTCTATGACAGACATTATCAAATGCTTTACTTATATCACAGAAGACTGCTCTAACTTCTTTTCTTTCGTCAAGAGCTTTGGCTATGAAATTATACACATGGGTTAATTAATTTGTTGTGGAATCTCCTGGCATGAATCCTGATTGTAACTTGTCAGTATGTCGTTATCTTTTAGGAAGTTGAATACATATTTATATAATTAAATACACATTTCTCAAAGACTTTCGATAAACAAGATGTGAGTGCGACAGGACGGTAGTATGAACATTCATGTACGCTATCTTTCTTGTGAATAGGTATTACCGATGCTTCTTTCCATGAACAGGGAAAGCGACTGGCTAAGCGATAAATTGAATAATTTCGTAAGTATGGATGTTAGACTATTTGCGGTATATCTGAGTACTTTATTTCCTATCCCATCCGGGCCGGTCGCTTTTGATGTGTCCAGTGACATTCAAATATCTCTGACGTCTGAGTTACAAGGAACCTCGGTATCGGGCAAATCTCGATTTGGACTACAATAGTAGACTGAACGATAAAGTCATTGTTTGAAACATTTGCGATTTCTTCAGGGTCATTATAGACTGTATCGTTGAAGATAATTGTTCGAAATTGATTGTCATTGTTGCGATATTTTATTAACGCTTTAGTCAGGCGCCACCACATTTTGGTACAGAGCGAGGTATTAACAGAATCTTCAATTTTAGAAACGAATATTTGTTTAGCAGTTCTGATAGAGGAAGTAGCTTTATGTCTTGTTGATTTGAAATTAGCCAAATCGTTGGATGGTTACATTTCTTTGCATCTTTATGTAAACGATTACGTTTCCGAATCAAAGAACGTATTTGACTCGTCATCCAGAGCGGATCTTCAGGTCTAATAGTGACAGTCTTATTTGGTATATGTTGATCGCAGATTTTCGTTATTGCGGATGTTAAATCGGTTGCAATCTTACCTATATTATTGGTAGAAAATACATTTTCACCATCAATAACATCGACACTCCTGTTCATACTTTCTGTATCAGCTAACGAATAGTTATAAACTTTCGTCTTATAGTTTATAGCGAGGGGATTTGGGTTTTTTATGGTCACAAAGATCAGATAATGGTCACTGCAGATATGATTAAGAACTCTCGATTCATTTACAGCTTTAATACTCGAAACAAAAATTAAATCTATCAGGGTACTTGAATGTGGTGTAATTCTAGTTGGTTCTGATATAATCTGTTTAAGGTCATACATCAATTGAAGGTAATGTATTTTTGTTCGATTTTACCCAAGGACGTCTATATTAAAGTCACCGACAACGATAGCATACATGTTCAGGTCGACGGCGTTATCGACAGATTCCTGAATCAGCTCCCAATACCCCGCTTTCTTATATTATCTGCTGGATAAGCAGATCCGATAGGTAAGAATGGTGTTTACACTTTATCTGTACCCACACCACCTCAATCCCGGGAGTGTCAAGGTTGTCCATATATGCTTTGCGTGTAAAGTACTTGTGACATAGATTGCGACACCGCGACCACGAGTTCGGACATGGTATCGGACATGCATGAATGGTAGCACTTCGGATATCTGCATGCAACCAGGTTTCAGTTAGACATATAACGTCACAAGATCGAAATTCTTCGTTAAGTAAATCAATTTTGTCTTTCAAACTGCGTATGTTTAAATGTATTATTTTAAGGTCTCTGAAAAAATTCGGCCCTGGATTAGGATGAATGTCGCCACAGCACAGCAGGATGAGAGAGGAAATTACAGATACTTGAGGACTGTAGAGACACAAGAACTTAAAACTGTGTATGGATTTCGTAAATCTGACTGCAAATTTTGAATGTATATTAACAGCAAAAGAACCCACTGCCTGTCTGTACTGCTCAATATCAGCCATAATCAAATATCATACATATAGTCATAACAGGTAGGAAAGTGGGTTCCGGTAGGTAAGTAAATGGAGGTAGACACACACAAACTGAACTGAAGTAATTAATACATGTACACACGTTTGTTGTAATTTGATGTAGATATAGGTCAAATTATACGGTGTAACATGATTTTGAATGCAACGCTGAAAACAAAGAAAAGAAAGAAAAAAGGAAGATTCCGTAGACCATCACCATGGTATACCTAGATAAAAGAAACAAAAGGTAACATGCGGTCTGTGGGAGGAACAACCCAAGAATTTGAAACAAAGGGGAGTCTACAGATTGGCAATTTCAAGCTAGCATGCTTGATATCTACACAATATATACATTAGTGTTGGGAATTGGTTAAAATCTCATAATTGATAATTGGTTCATTACTACCGATCAATCATCGAAAATAATTGGTTAGCGTCATTATTGAAATGTGTTAATGCACATAAAAATAAGGGAAAAATGCAGTTCTTTGGGGTTTTTGGCAGAATTTCACATCTTTAATGGACGACTAGTATGTTAGGAACCTAAATTTCTTGGAATCTTTAAGATAAATTCAATCATGACTTGAAACGAGCTTGTTGTGCTTACGAAATGTAACAGACAAAACCAACCATGTGAAAAATATTGTTAATGGAAACAAGTGTTCCAGAATTGTTTGTGTTCGATTATGAGAAATTATGATCGATTGCTAGGTCGTTTAGTCACTACGACCAATCTTCGATTATTTCAATTAATCGGACCACCACTAATATACATACACATCCATACGCATACGCTCGCCGTTCTATCCGTACATGTTTACATCAAACCATACACAACTGACCAGGTACACAACTAACCAGATACACGCACTTATACATGCATACACACGCAGATACTTACAAGTTTGCACTTACATACATGTATTATAAAGGTAATATGAAACATTTATACACACGGAACATACATGTTCTGCACACATGCAACAAACAACAAAGTGCATGTAGGCTTAGTTGTACACATACTACACACATACTACACGCTAAACAGTGCATGTATTCTTAGTTGTACACATACTACACACACACAACACACACGATACATGTAGGCTTAGTTGTACACATACTACACACAAACACAACACACACGATATAGTGCATGTAGGCTTAGTTGTACACATACTACATACACACAACACACGATACAGTGCATGTAGGCTTAGTTGTACACATACTACACACAAACACAACACACACGATACAGTGCATGTAGGCTTAGTTGTACACATACTACACACA